TTGTTTGAGTACTGAAGCGGAGATGTTAGCCCTCAGGCGAGGGGAACGTGGGAGCTCCGAAGTGAGAGCCGGTGTCCTTCCAGCCTAGAGCTGGTGTCCTTCCAGCCTAACCACAGATTCAGTAATCAAGCATAGGATTAGTCTTTATGCCTGAACCAAAGGATAAAAGATAGGATTGCTCCTATTTGACACATACAATATTTAATGCATCTTCATTCATTTACATTATCCAATTCATTACATAAGAATAGTAGTTTTTAATATCTCAAAATTCTTCAAACCAATTCATCCAAAAAGGCTTATCTTTAGTATTAATATTTGCATTTAGTTATAGTTACTATCTTTACATTTAACACTTGCATTTAGGAGTAGTTGCTAGATAAAATATCATTTTAATCGACATTCCAAACTAAGGACTAATTGTAGTAGACTAGAATTTGATTAAGGACCTCTTACCTCGCTTCCCTGTGGGATCGATAAACGGGACTCCACTAGAGCTCTGTATTACTTGAGCGATACATATACTTGCGTTTGAAATTGTAACTTTACAAAATCATTATAAATATATAAATTTGAGTTCATAAATTTTTGCATATTAAAAATTGCTGTCAACAACCTAAGAGCAGACAAAATCAAAGCAAAGGTTTGTGGGGATTTAAATCTTCTAGCTTCTAGTAGTGGTATCAAATTCGTGTATTTTTAGGTATATAAAAAGTCGTTGTCACTTATAAGTTGTCTTCCACTGCACAATATTTTTCTTTCTTCTTCTGTACACGCATTTCTTTGTTTTGAACTTTATGTTGGGTTGGTTGGACATCCTCATCCAGGATATGAGGACTAGGTGGAGTAGTTGGTGAGGTTTTGTAGGTGTCATCAAGTGCAATACAAAATTGATGTTAATTTGCACTATCCCAAAACATCAGATCGATGGTAGTGAGATTGATTTTTAAAAAAATGTAACATTCACAAAACTGTAGTATTTTCTGATAACAGGGGAGTATCACTTATACCCCATTTTGTTGGTGGCATACGCAAAAAAAAATACACTTGATATATTTAGGATCAAATTTTCTGTGATTTTGAGAATGGTTGTGAACAAAGGATATCCACCCTAAGATTTTAAGTGAGATAGTAGAAAAGAAATGTATGATTTAAGGTTAAGTAACCATCAAAACATGAAGAGATATTTTGAAGTTAAGTACCCGACTAGATATTAGATTGATAAGGTATGTTCAGTAAGAACTACTCCCCAAAAATGTTTAGGAACTTGATGGGACATCATAATTGAACGGGATACCTCAAGGAGATGCATGTTCTTTCTCTCAACTATCCCATTTTATTGTGAGATATCAATACATGAACTTACGTAGATTATTTCTTTTTTTGAAGATAGGACCCAAGGATGAAGTTGAAAATTTTCTTTGCATTATCAGTTTTGAGGATCCAAATTTTGTATGGAATTGAGTTTAAGTTATGTTATCGAAGTTTTGGAAGATTTGTGTTGTTTCAGATTTCTTCTTCATCAGGAGTACCCATGTGGTTCCTAGTATGGTTGTCGATAAATGAGACATTATCTGACCCCACTTAAGATAAGACCCACAAATATGATTGTGGATAATGACAAAATGGTGTGAGGGTTTGTACAAAGTTAGGTAACTATTTCTAGTATGTTTGACAAGTTGACAAATCTCACATTAATAGAAACTAAGTTTTTTATTGAAAAATGAATGAGGATACAACTTAGCGACATAATTGAAATTGGGACGACCCAACCGACACTGTCATAACAAGACCCAATTTTTGACAGACTTGGACTCAACAGAAAATGAAGATGGGATCATTAGAGAGGCATAAACTTTGATGTTTTTTAGCACTGTCAATCACCTTCTCCAACTCCACGTGATATTCACAAGAGTTTGTAAGGAATTTAGTTATCCATTTCATATCATTAGTAAGCTTATTGATTGAAATCAAATTGCAGTCCAGTTGTAGAACATATAAAATCAAGAAAAGAGTAATATCTTGAAAGAGCTTCACATCTACCATTCCGGTAATATTTGATTCTGATCCGCCCTCAAGTCTTACTGATCTTGATGTGGAGGCCTCTAGCTAGTTGATTAGTGCATTGATATCTCCGATCATATGATTAGAAACTCCTAAATCTATGATTCAAGTTGTAAATCTCCCATTATTGACAAGATAAAAGAAAAATGTATTGCATTGGCATGCCATGAGGTTGGTGTACTAGTCTGAATTACCTCCAAGAAGTTTTTCCAGTATTTCAAGTTGCTCCTTGGTGATTGATTTAACCAACCATTCAAATGTGGTAGCAAAAGTTTTTCCAATATTTCTTGATCTTGCCTTCCCTTCACAAGCTTCCAGTCTGCAATCTTTTTTCATAAATTTTCAAATATTTGTCCTTCATATGCCCAATCTTCTTGCAATAGTCCCATGTGGGACAATACTTCTTGTGCTTTGAGTAATGGGACGAGTTATGAGTGTATAGGGTTGAGCTTTCAGTACTTGGTGACCCTCATTTCTAGTCTTCATCGACTTTTTTCCCCTCTCCTCTTCTGACTTAATAAAAAGTTGCATGGTTGGATGGAAGGGGCTTTGTTCTCATGATCGCCCCTCTCACCTCATCCAGTTCCTGAGCCAGTCCTATTATGAATTTGATGATTCTCTTCTTCTCGATAATGGATTTAAATGTCATAACCTCATGCAGATATTTTCGCTTGTCTAAAACATTTTCCATTGTAACCAATACTTTGTCAAGTTATAAAAGTATTGGGTGACACTTAGCTCTTCTTGACGATGGTCATGAAATTTGGCTTTGATCTCAAATAATTCTGCAGTGTTTTTAGTGTCAGAATATATTTCTCTTGCGGTCTCTCAAATTTCTTTGGCAGTTTTGTAGAACAGAACATTTTTTCCGATTTCAGTGATCATTTAGTTGACTAGCCAAGGCATAATCATATGATCTTTATTCTTCCATGTATGGTTGTTGGGGTCAATGATCTCAGAAATTGTGTCTTCTCTCGTGGGATGTTTCTCTTTCACTTTACAAAAAATGTACATAAACATGAATTTGGACCATTGAAGTTAGTTATGACCATTGAGTTTATGATTTATGATAAAGCTAGAGTCGTCTGGACAAAACCCCAATCTCTGATTTGGAGTCGAACTTGACGTCAACCCTAAGCTTATTTAAGGCTGCCTCTAGTTGCTGGACTGAAGCTTTTGCTTTCTGCCACTTCTTCTGCTGCTGCTACTATTGGAGGATTCCGCTGGAGGAGGAAGGCCTGCAGAAAAGAATCCGGAAGGGAAAAAGTTGACTGTCTGACGAACAGAGGAGGGCCTGCAGGAAAGATGTTATGGCTAAGAAGATGAGGGCATGCAGGGAAGGAATTTTTTGTGGCAGAAGGTGTTCTTGCGGCTGCAGCAGTTCTAGCAGAGTTTTCGGATGGGAAATGAGGAACGTTTGGAGAAGTGATTCTGGTTTGCCGTAGGAACATCTGCTGGCTGCTCCTGCGGCTGCTGTGCTTGCCCGGGAAGTTCTGCTGCGGTAGATTACTGGAGAAATTTCTGCTTGCTGCTTTTTGCTTGGGAAGTTCTGCTTGTCATGGAGGTAGTTCTGCAGCAGTAGATTTGAGGAAATCCTCTATGGGAAGGAGCTGCTCTGCTTCCTGCGGCTGCTTGTCAAGAAGGTGGATTTTGTTGCTGCTGAGGGAGAATTCCGTTGCTGGCAACTGCAGGGGAAGCTTCGTTGGAGGCCTGTAGGAAAATAGGTGGGTGCAGGGTGGATTTTGGAGGCTGAAAAAGAGATCTAGGATTTGTTTCTTATCTATGATACCATGTAGAAAACAGGTTTAGAGAGGAAAAATTTACTTAATTCGCATTATTTTCATGTAGGGTGCATATATATATATACATATATATATATACATATATATATATATATACATATATATATACATATATAGGGAAGGCAATCTCTCCTATAATTTACAAGTTTATCAAATATATCTAACCTAAATTAGGAAAGGAAATAATCTTAAAATAAAAAAAAATAACACAAAATAGGAAGGAAATAAACGAATTAAGAGTTTTCTAAATCGTCCCAATCAAATCTTTCAAGAACTTTTCAGATTTTCACAGTAAAATGAAATAAAAATGCATTTCATTTTATTAATCAAGTTTAAAAGCATATAAAGAGAATACTTTCTCCCAGCATAAGATAGCCTATTTATTGTTGGACTGTTTTGGATGTATTATTTTCTATTGCAACTAAGATGGAACGACACATGTTAAGTCATATGAATGAGCTAGGATTTATATTATATAAAATGAAACATGCCAAAAGCTTTTTTGATGGAAAATAGTGATTATTGGAATGATAACCCAAATGATAATGTAATGAATGATTTAATCCCAAAAACTATACAAAATTAACAAGCAATTGTAGTGTAATCACCACCACTTGATTCCGAACTGCACCAAATTTGAACTCATCAAGAATATTAGCAGGCCAATAACAAGACATACAAAAGAAATTTTATCGAGGAAATAGTTTATCAAATTAAAAAATCTTGACCCCACACTTGTTCAAGAGGATGATTTCTCAAGTATTAGGTAGTACCCTTGTATTGCACTTAAAATAATTGCACATTCAATTTGCACACCCATGATTAGGGGAGTTGGTGAGTCAAGCTGCCCGCAAGTCAGCTTGAGCTCAACTTACCTGAGCTCGCAAGTCGAGTTTATTGAGCTCCATTTGCAAAATTGAACACATTAATGTGGTAATATTTTGTATTGATTCTATCTTGTGATTCTATAGTCGAATATACTTTCATTTATTAACAAATTACTTCGTCCACCAAAATTCATGTGGATACCTGAACTCCCTCTCATCTGTATCATTACACTGATTATTGTATTTTTTAGGGTTGGTCAATGTTATATTTTGCATGCACTATTGATAATGACCCGCATTCTGACAGGCCTGGAGACCATCCAGCGGCGCCGAGGTCAGAAAACTGATAAGCCTGTCCTGTTGACAGGGCCAGGAAAGGCTAGTTCTCTCTACCCCCCATCCCGTCTTATTGCGGAAAATATTTGTTGTTTATAATTTTGAAAGTCACCACACTGATGGGCGCCTTTGGAATTACTCCTGTTAGGTTGGGCAAGCACTGGGGCTCTCCACTTCCTGGTCGAATCATCCCCTCTACATCCCTGGTGCAATCTCGATTTCATATTGGGGCGTTTACATGCATACCACCCAATTCTTATCCATTTACATATTTAACAGCAAAATTTTACTTTTTTACATTTATGTTTTATACCACGCCAGTTCTTTCATATCACATAAAAAAGTCTTTCATGTATATGTAAGATGTTTATGTAAAAATTAAAGTTTAGGTGTTAGATATGTAAATACACAAAAATTGAGTGGTATGTATTTAAATTTCCCTTTCATATTTTATTGGTGTAGTGCTTCAATGAATCATTTTTTTTCTTTGTTGTAATCTTAGGTGGTTTGGAGCTACTGGATGGGCCTGAACCGGAAAATACTTTGGTTGGTCCCAGAGTTGGTATCGATTATGCATTGCCTGAGCATGTAAATGCACCATGGAGGTTTGCTGTTGCTGGGAGCCGTTGGATCAGTGCCCCTAAGAACACCCTCAAGCCTTTATAGAAAATGGTTGGTTTTCTTTCACCCTCATTATTTTGTTTTTTTATTTTCATATTCCATAGCTATAATTTCCTTGTTTATTTGCTTGCTTAATGCGTGTATTGTAGATTTACTTGTTATTTTGTAATTATGACATCGATATTACTGTCCACACTTTCCCTTGATATTTATTGTATTATAATACAAATTTTGATATTTTGTAAGATCAATTTTTTTGTTAAGATATAATTGTTTAAGTTCTTAATTGTTATCTTATCAAAATTTCAAAAAATTAAAAATAAAGCAAAATCTTATTGACCTCAATACATATTTCACAGTTATCCCAATCAAATATGATGACATTAGTGAACAATGAAGGTAGCCTTGGTTCAAGTTGCTGCTTACCATAAAAATTACTACAATGTCGCTGGTTTTGTAAAACGGATTATGCGGCCACATCCGAAGTGCACCTTTTAGACATTTCATATGCAAGACAAGTGGGAAAACAGGACTTATATACATGCAATATATTTTTTATATATTTAGATATATATTGAATGTTAGAAAATTCATGGCAAAAGATTGAGAATTTTGCCTTTTAGTTTTGTACGGAATAGCACATACACAAATATGAAAGAATACACATAGATACTAGAATTTGTACAATTAAATTAAAAAAAAAAATTGAAAAAAATCTTGAGTCTAGCCAATATGAAATGAACTACCAGGTTTCATTTTCCCCAACTAAAGGAGACATGATTATACAGTAATATGATCAAATTTCATATATTGTAATTATAATGAAGTTTGTAGTGCAAAATCAATTATTAGCCAATATTGGTTTAATAATGATGGTCAAATGATGATAGGTTGATAATGGTGTTTGAATGATAGCAATCAGATAATGATGATCACAACATGGTGATTAGGTGATGGTGGTCAAATTACAATGGTTGAATACTAGTATTTGGAAGATAGTGATCGAATGATAGTGGCCAGATAATGACAGTTTGATGATGATTTTTAGGTGGTAATAGCCAAATAATGGTGTTTATGCAACCACAATTGGCTAATGATGTTTGTTGATGGTTGTTAGCATTGATTATATTGTGCAGCTCTAAAATTTTTCAAATCTATAAGCTCCCTCTAAACATAAGTTTATCTTCATGTGTAGAATAATAATTTATTTTAAATATTTTAGAATGATATTTTTTGTTATTTTAGCGAAGGTTTTAAAATATTCTATCAAATGACTCGTGTTAATTTCTTTAAGTGTTGGCATTTAAGTGTCTTAATATCTTTAGAATTAAGTGATCTTAGGTTTGTTGGATTCCTTTTCGATATACTCATTTTGACTCCAAACATGTAATATCTAGAGATTGTTTAGCCATCAATTAATGTCTTAAAATTCATAACTATACTTTAGGCACTTGATTTTAGCTAATTTGAACTTTGATCAAGCTACTTTTAGCAATCTTGGGTTCTTCTCATCAGTCATTTTGTTGGACTATAAAATTTTTAAAATAAGAGATCAGATTATTTTGAATTTAATTTTGAAAATTTCAATTTAAAAACTTGTTCATAATTCTTACTTAAATGGACATTATTTAACTATTCTTTTCAGTTGTTGAAGTATGTGTCATCCGAAAAGATTTATTAAGCCTTTAAAAAATGTATAGTACAAAATTATAATTTTTGATAAAATACAGGGCACGATCACCTCCTAGACACATACTTCGGTAACTGAAAAGAATAGGAAAAAAATATAAATAAAATTAAAAAATAGAAAAAAATCTTGAGTCTAGCCAATATGAAATGAACTACCCTATAAATAAAATTATAAGGTTTCATTTTCTCTCAACTAAAGGAGACATGATTATAGAGTAATATGATCAAATTTCATATATTGTAATTATAATGGAGTTTGTAGTGCAAAATCAATTATTAGCCTATAATGGTTTAATAATGATAGTCAAATGATAATAGTTTGATAATGGTGTTTGAATGATAGCAATCAGATAATGATGATCACACCATGGTTACTAGGTGACCGTGATCAAATTATAATTGTTGAATAATAATATTTGGAAGATAGTGATCATCATTATCTGAATACAGATAGTGACTGTAAACACCACATCACGTAACACCTACATAAATCTCATGAATCTCATAATAGGAAAGAATACATGTAAGCATTTATAGCATGTCACAAAGTCACAAAAAATAAAAAGTTCATCATGTCACAACATAAACACATAAGTCATATGTCCATCATCACATCCACAAAAATACATAACATAAAAATATTAAACAAAAGGAAACACAACAAGAAAAATCAATATAGAAGCAAAGGGATCAAGCGTCTCTGCCCCATCCTCCTCCATAGGCTTGACAGTATCACCATTGTATTTAATGGTGGCGCATCTAAAAGCTGAGAGTGCTAGGCTCCTTGTGCCTAATTGTGCCTGATCATCTCTGCTAGTGTAGAAAAGGCCTACACCTAGTACTTGTACTCTCTTCGATATTAATCAGCATAAAAATCTGACTTTAACCCATCTCGTGCTGCTACCATTGCAGAATTGCAATATCATAACTTTGGGTGTTTAACTTCTCCAAAATAATAATGAAGGATGAAGAAGGTTGAGGATGTGAAGGTGATGATTCAAAAGTCTCTTATCTCTCAAAAGATGTCTTACTATAAATTCTACTCGTTTTCTTTGTAATGACTTTACTAAAATGTAACTACTTCTCCCAAGACTCATATTTCACCCCGACATTTACACAGAGAGCAAAAATTACATAAGAGTGTCCAAGACCAATTGTTGTTCCCTCTTAATCATGCTATGAATAGAAATATTGATGATAATCTCTACATCAATAGATCTCTCCTATTAAATGAAATAGTTCAAAACAACAATTTATTAGGTTACCTCATCACTATTCATCGAACGGAGTAGTTTAGCAAAAATAATTAATGTAAACTTTTGACTCAGCATTCAAGGTAATGGCTGGGAAGTTAACTAGTTTGTTATCATGAATGCACAAGGTGCCATCAGAATCAGCCAAGGAATTGATAATCTCTATCAAATCTGCATTAGAAGGCATGAAAAGGAAATATTCATCACGAGGAATGTTAAGCAAAGCAAAAAAGAGAATTGATTTTTTCAGAACTAAAATTAGCACGCTTCCCCTCATGAAAATTTCTTCATCCTTATGTTATCTAGCGTTGACATAGAATTCTTTAATCACAGGGATTATCACCACCTTGGTCTCATAATAAAAGCTCTCTCATTTCTACCCTACCCCCAGTTTCAATAAATCTGCTCTCTATAATGAGTTTCTTTAAAACCGAAAGATCGTGGTATTGTGTTGTTGTGTTGATACTAATGAATTTTTTGGCACAATATGTGGTTTTTTTTTCTCTTTCCTCTCTTGTTTTTTGGGACCAAGGTATAACAAAAATATGAAGGCAAAAGAGAAAACGACAAGGCAATGTGATAAATTTAAGGGAAATAACAAAAAATCTCATCTCTAGGCCGAAGAAAACCTTGGTGCTCCTATCCCACCCCCTTTGTTTTTCTTCTCTTCCCCTCTTTTTGTTTCAGTTTAAAATCTAGGGCAAAATACAATTTGAGATAAAAATGAATCAAGAGAACTCCAAGGTTGAGTGCCTCATCGCTCGTCTGGATCTTCAAAATAGGTGAGATGCACAATGATATATATCAAATGTTGTGATGCAATGACTAATCACGTAAGTATACATGTCATTCAAGTAGTATACAGAACAGAGTTTTTGCATCAATCCCAGAAGGAATGAGTGAATTTTCAAGATGAAATTTTCTAGCTTACTGGTTTTGAATCACTTGAAGGTAAGAAATATTTTGGATTTTGAAAATTTACTAATCATAATTTTTGAAATATTAAAACCTGACGAGATGAGGATTTCAGAAGAGTTTTCTAATGTTGGTAAAATACTCCCCTGAATTGGTTTTGCATAAATGAAAGTTTGAATTTGTAATTACAATACTATGTGTCAATAAGGAGCAACACTCTTTCTTATCCTCTCTCGGGTGTCTAAAAAAGTTCAACAATCATACAAGTTTAGTTTCCTAAATCAAGTGATTAACTCAAAATTATATTTCTCCTTAAATGATTGCATCAACCTAAAAGCAGTATTTTTATTCTCCTAAGGTAATGTGGTTTAACATAGTCATTCCACTAAGAATTCTTCTGAAAGAAAGATCACAATATAACTATTCAACTAGTCAGGTTTAATGTAAACGAAAAATAGAAAGTTAAAACACCATCTCATATGAATTCTAGTGAAAATCACACAAGTCAATCAAAATCTTACATTCCTACATCACCAATTCAATGGAGAATAGAAATTCTACTCACTAAACGTACTTGAAAATAACAACAATTTTATTTAATTGATAATTAATAGCACAAGCAAAAGTTTGAAATGATAGAACTGAATTAAGAAGATTACACTAGTCTCTTTTCCTCCCCTAATTGAAATGTTGATGTTACACACACTTACACATTCAAGAAGTCTCTCAATCACTCCTCTCCTCCCTTGTCTTGGATCTTCTTGCCCTGGTGTTTTCTCCTCAGATTTGCCTTTGAATCGCTAAACCAATCAAAGTGTATGAACCAATACCTAAGCATTGGTATATGGCACCTTGGTGCTTGCCACTGGTGCCTTGGCACTGTAATTGTGATGTGACGCCTACTTTTTAGCTGTTTGGGTTATGGTTCTAGGACATTGGGAAACTAAGCGCCCAAACCTGACGCATGGGTATCTGTTTCTCGTGCCTGAGCACCCATAATTGGTGTTTTGGTGTCAATTTCATTGTATATTAGTACACAGGCGCCAAGCCTGGTTTCGGGACTAGCAAAAGGGTGCCCAGGTCTAGTGAGGGGCCTCACCTGGGCGGCCCGGTTTAGCCCATTTATGAGTCCATTTCATCGCATTTGATTCCCAAATTGTCTAATCACTTGTACATTGTATATACAATTACAAATATTGAAAAACATAAAAATACATAAATAAAGATAAAAATATCTTAAAAATAACACACATATTTGATAAATATCAAATATCTCAAACTTAAACATTATTTTCCCTCATATAATTCAATATCTAAAATTTAGAATTTGTGAAAAATT